CGAATAGTTACGAAACGTTTGCAAATCATTTGCCAAGACCAATCAACAGCCACCTGATCAATTACAAAGTTACGATGTACTCTGACTAAATCGTGTTTTCCAAATGCGGAAATATCTACCAGCTCACATATTTTTATTTTGAAAACCTCGTCTATTCTAGGGACAAACGCATATTTTCAGGCGAAGTTGCACTCTCGAGTTGCGGAAGCTTTGCATATACAACCTAGCAAAACTAGAAAATATGGTGTACGCAGCTAGCGAGCACGCATCAGTTCTCAACAACGGTTAGCCTTAGTCTTGACAAACCAATATGTTGCAGGTATTAGCAATCTTGCAGTCCATAAGTGATAAATATGCCACGGGTAACCTTGCTCTTCAGCTTTTGTCTCTGTCACTCCTTTCAGTAGCAACTCAATCTTTGCTCTCACACAGGTCCTCGGTTGTTAAATTTTGCCAATTCAAGGACAATGAAAGATATTTACTCAGTAGGCACCCGAGATGACCCAATGGCGCTCAAGTTGGCTCGGTGGCTAGGGACTGAACATACTGACAGGAAGATCCATAGCTCGAACCCAATCCCTGCATCTTAACTCTTCTTGAATAGCCTTGGGAAACCAGGCAGTATTTTGACCGTCGTGGATTGTAAAGAAAGCTTGATACAGAGTGCAACTGTTGAACAATCACTTATTAATTATTATCCAAGTGGAGTGGAGCAACGCTGAAAATCGTGCTGGTGATGAAAAGGATGTACGGATGAGGGATAATTTAACTCGTGTGATCGTGTGGTCTCCATTCCAAGGGTGAAAATGTTGCTGCGTTGATAGGAATATATCTGACTGTGACTACTCCTAACTAACTTACAAACCAAAACTCAGGAAGTCAGAAATCTGACACCTTCAACTGTTTATTTGCCAAAAGGTTTCTCTTTGAACAGACTGTACAGTACGATGGACAGTAATTCCGCAATTTTCTGAGGGTAGAATTTTTTTTTGTTTGAGACATGCCTTCCATAGGCATTTAGCAGCCAACTAAAAGGCAACGGTGCGATTTCAGAAGTAACAGACACCTATGAAAGTATCCTAAAAAGCAAGTATTAGAAACCTACTGTCATATTTTCTATCCCAGTTAGATTTAATCCGTATTTTAACTGTGTCATTCTCACAAGATTTATTACTTTTCAGCTATTCCAAGCACAACCATCCTTTGGACTAGGCAAAAACAATCCACAAATATTTCAAATGTGTACGTTAGCAGCACTTATAACATTAGTCATTCCCTGACATTACTAACTAAAAAATATTGGCTGGTGGCTTAATGCATCCCCATTGCGGTTTTCCACACTGGGCGAGCAAAAAGATTACTTAGTGGACCAAATGTTTTAACTTTTCCGTTGAGTGGTTATTTCTTCCACGGTTAGATGCAACATAGAAACACCCCTTGCTGCCGGCTTTCCTATAAGCCGAATGCCTCAGGGGATTTCTTTGTAAAAAAAATTTTCATTGAGCCAATTATCAGGTATTTGAACACCCAACACATCTTTTGGCAGCGAAGTTCCGTTGGATGGAGGATGGGATCAAATTACGATAAAAACGAACTACTTCCCAGTTTGTAAGTAGCAAAAAATGAGCAACACGTCCGTGTTTTGGCATGTGGTTTCATTCACACGGGGGATTTGCGTAGCCGGTGGTTTGGAGTTAACGTCTACTGAAATTAAAAGAGCTACGGAGGTTCTCACGTAGACTGTCTTGTCACTTCCACCATCTTTAAAACTGTGCAGATGGGCCTACACTTAACACACAGTTTATGTATATTTTGTGACGTTTTTTCTGAGTCTTTAATAATTAATTATTTACGATGGAATTTCTATCTTCATAACGATGGTCATTGCACAGGTGGATAAGTAAACTAGAACATCGTTCTGTGCAGAACATAGAGCCATTCAAACTCTTGACGCCCTGGTGAAATATTGAACGATTTTCCCTTTGTTGAAAATATCCCACTAGAAATATGAACGCCGTATTGATTAATAAACACCTTTAAGTGGTATCTCACAGAAAAATGTCCGATTATTGGGGTGTCACTATTTTTACAGTAGCAACTGAGGTTCTTGTAAGTCCCTTTAGATTATTTTTTGCGAATTATATTATTGAAGTATTAGTGGCTGGAAAAACCTTGCCGTTTTCGGTGCGTTTGAGGAACCCTTTGTAACGAACATAATTATGAGTACATCCATTGAGTGGAAATAAAGACCGAATTGGACGAATTGGTGGCATAGCTTCGTCTCGCATGATAGAAGAACACGTATGCTTCGCCCGCGATTAGTGTTACACAGGCTCAACACCCAGACGATGAGATCTTGATTTTTGGGCATTTATTCCAGTATTTTAAAAAATTCTGACGTTTCAACCCAATTGCCATAACTATACGGTGATGGTAAATTTCAATGCACTGCGCTAAAATCGGTTGAACTACATTAAAGGTAACATGGTAGAATGTGAAATGAGCACTGAGCATCGAATCCAAAGTGCTGAGTTTTGGCGTGCTTCTACAACAGTCAGCACAAACAAAGAAGATTTTATGTAAATCCAGTTTCATTACGTTCCCTGTACATTTACCAGCCTGCCAAAAATACTAAACGGATTCACCCTACTGCTTTTATTGAGCGTTGCAGGTATTATGAAGCACATCATGTACATACCGTTTCTTCACCGCAACTGGAATTCGTGAGAGAGTTTGATCGCGGAACAAAAGCTTGGTAATTGTCGTTCAATTATCAACTGTGGTATGCTGACTCGGAGAATACGAGAAATAAATCCGTAACTGCCAAAAGATAGGTCGCAGATTGTCGGCTGAAATTGAAATTCATTTCTGTGCCAGTTGAAGTCGCCTTAAACGCAATTCTGTGCATCTTGGAATTTGAACACTGCGTGTCCAAAGCAATAATGCAAAAATCAGTGTACTTACAATTTTTTTGGCTAGAGCGACCAAATTGCCGACAATCAATCCCGTATCATGTAAAGTCCAAGAGTTTCGATAAATGATTAATAAGTGGGTAGTTCGTTAATCACCTCTAAGGTGCTACCGCGATCGTTCGTTATGGGCACACAAATATTTCTTAAGTGCCTCTTATATATTCCGATCCAGTTTGCATCCAAAACTGGTAACGCAAATATAGTTGGCAAATAGCTTGCTTTTATGCCTCCAGACCACTTTATTTTCATAATCGAATGGTGAATTTGGGTGCAAAAATCCATCATAACGCCGGAACTTGTTTAGATTCAACTATCTTAGAAGCTTCCCTTTTCCTTAACCCATTTTCAGCAGAATTACTCCGGAGTAATGCACATAAAGAATCTTTACTTTACTGACCATCTAATCAAGATTTGTGAGAAAAAGGTTGATAACTTAGCGTCTAATGATGTCAGTTTCAAAATCACTGTTTTTATAAACAACAACTACTCCTCTCTGTGTAGTCTTTTGATGAGCGTACTTTGCATACTTGTTTGCTGAGTACCCTCTTGGTTTTGGTTCTTCTCAGGTTGGTAGGACAGTTTAACGAAACTTTTTTCAGTAACTGATTCCCCATAACTTGGTGCAGATTTATTGTGATAAACACTACCGGTCAGATTCATGCCTTATCCACAGAGCATTATTTTTTACCATCTTCTGCCATCCACAACCATTTGAGTGAGTTTCTGCCTCCACTATTAATTTACAAATTCATAAACATATTGTATTACAGCCAGAATTCAGGAAATTTCGGCGCTTCGATTTTCAGCTGTTTGCGGAACGTAATTGAGATTTCAGTTCTAAATGACTTGTTGCACCTGGTACCTCCTATAAATAAGATGGTAGTTCTAACCGTGAACTTGAACGAAATTTTTCAGGTGATACGACGATTGTGATGGACTACAACCAGCTTCGTCGGACAGTAATCGTAGTAAACAAATTAGCAAATGGTATCCAAAGATGTCACTGATATGATAATGCAATCACATTAGTCAGTATCCATTTTAAATATTCCGACATTCTGATATGGGAATCGGGATAGAATTAGCTGGACGGTATTGAAAATTTACTTATTCCCCAAACTAAGAAAGCCTTAAATTTGGGTGTTAACGCATCAAAGTTAAGGAAGCAGCAACATTTCTGATGTAAAACTTTTAGAAACGAGTCTACCGAACCCACAGTTTAGTCGGAAGTTTATTCACGCACTGATGAATGAAATTTGTAGATTAACCTATTCTTCTTCACAGATAGTACTGAAAAAATTAGCTTTTGGGTACAGAAACCTTTGCGACTGTCTTATCTTCATTTTTTGTTGGAAGCAATTTTTATTTGATCTACTGTCAGGGTAACTTATAACACAATAAACTGTCGAGACTATGAAACCTGACCAGATTTATATACTTTTTGGACAGCGCTACCTTATGAAGCGTTATCATAAGTAGGCTCTGTCTGTTGCAGTGAGAAAGCAATCTTTTGAGAAACCTCTCATTCCGTGAGGTTTGAATATCCATGGGTTGTTTTGTGTCCCAGCACTACTGGTTGTATAAGCAGTTTGGTTTTGTCCGCATGCAAACGCCTGTCAGAGAATGAGTGGATTAGGGAACACGGCTGAGCACACTAACACGGCATGCCGCAGGACAACCGAAGCACAAACATACCGTATTTATTCGGCTTGATTTTTGTCTTCATATGAATGAGGGAATTAGCTCGACAGGCCGCAGCTGCAGCACGCTGACCAGCATAAGTTCTATATAATTACACTTCGATTCAACCGGCACGATGCGAACTGCAGTGTGCGTTTGGAGTGTGTGTCAATGTGTTAAACTCCGAAACAGGGTGTGTACGTGCAAATGACGAGCGATTCGGACATGGATACGTGGGCAGTGTGATTGGTCAAAATCGCACACAGTATGGCTATCCAATCGTGGCAGTGCTCGGCGATTTGGCGGCTCAACGCTACCCGCAGATTGGCATACATCAATCGAGTGTCACAAATGAACAGACAATCGGGAGTATTCTGGTTTGTTCATCGGTTCATACTGGTAAGTGTATCACTTTTTCCAGAATGCAGATGCCTTAGATATAAACATACGCGGCGTGTGTTTCACAGAGCACTGCAGTCATATGATGTCGGTTTTTGTAATAATTACTCGCCTAATACAACATGTAGATTTGATAGTTTGCCAGGAACAGAATAGTCACTAAATTTCTGGCACTCATACTTTGGCGATGAGAGACGTTCTGGATCAGCACACAACTTGAAATGAACAAATCCCGTGCAGCAATTAGTATTATCAGAGAGTCTACCAAAACACTTAAGAAAACAAAACACTTAACAAACAAAGTGTTAGCAAAGGGATGAGTCAATTGTGAACCGTCGTGGCACATGCACACCACTCAAAAGTTTTGCCGGGTGAATGTTATATCAATCAAGGCAGCCGCTCTTGTCCGGTCCCGGATAAGTTCATTTTCTAATGGATCGAAAACTTAAAAATATGTGCATTTCAGGAAGCTAGGAAACCAACCTAACGACTGAATGCTGGACACCGTTTTGATATTGACACATGCTTCATCAGGCATTTTATCAGCCAGTGATTTTTCTCTAATTTTAGGGGGATAAAAAGGCAGCCAGAGGAGTTGCTTTTCAACCCATGTTAGGACTTAGGTAGACACTTGTGTAAGTTAGCTGGTGTTGCAACAAAAGAGTTGGAGGAAAAGCTTACAGGAATTAGAGTAGCGGTCGGAATCTGATTATCCAGGGGCAAGAAGTATAGTTGACGATTTTTCGCCAGCATTATCTACATATTTTTGTTGCTGTATGCGTCCTTTTGCCTCATGTTGCCTATTTGCGAAAAGAGAGCACTTGAAGGTTTGAAATTCGGGTCCGAGGCTCTTCATCGCACGACCCTGTCGAATGGCTGCCGCGATCCGTTACACATCCTCTAGGATCGGTCTACATGCCCTTACCCACACTATTTCCCACTTTTTACATTTACCACGATTTGTACCACCATAAAAACCGGTTACCCCAACGAGGTTAGTTATCTTCGCCAATAAAGAAGAATCTTTTTAAATGAATGTGCCGTGCACACTTGGACTAATGGAAAATATTTTTAGTGGAACTATTGACTTAGCTGACATTCGCCCCTCTGTTTTGGAAGTGCTAAAGCGGTCTATAGACGAACAACGAACGTGCTGCTTACATTTTAAAGACCAGGTAGGTACATCGACGATGGAATGACACAACGTGATGTGTTCTATGATTAATTTTGCAAAATACATGGGCTACATCGATTGACAATGGACAATCTTAACCCTTAAATTAGCTTCCTTTTCCGTTCTTCATCTCAGATGTTTATGGCTATCGCCATATAATGTCCTCGCTCACTGAAAATCAACCACGAAATTAATAAATTCATAAGTTTAGATCGCTTGCTAATGTCAGCGTTTAAATTATACGCTGCTAAATTCAAGGGCTGCTGAGCAAAGTTAAGGGGTTTCAGTGACGAAAGCATTGCGCTTACTTCTTCGCCGGTCTATAATTCTCTCGGGTAGACGTGAATATTTTTGAGTTATCGGTTAGCAAAATATCTACCTTGGAATGTGGTTTTTACTTTTTTCAATTATTTTTCTCTCCCTCTAACATTGAAAAGGAATGAATTTCACTCAAAGGAGATTAGAAATTATGAATTAAATGCAGCCTATTGCACATTCGAGAAAGTGCAGTCTAATAATTCTGTTTTTCTGTGCTTTTTGATTTTCCCATGAGATTATTAAAATTATCAGGACGTCTGGAAGAGGATTCTAAATAATATTAATGGCTGAATTACACTAGAGAACAAAAAATGATGGCTGCATAAATACGATAGCTTATCGCTGGGCTTAACATCGCTGGGCCTACTTTTGGTGAATGCCGAATTTTTTCAGACGCCACCTGGAAGATAACCGTAACTGGAGTTAAGTCAATTTGGAATTAACGACATGCACACATACTGCGGATAGTAAATCACTTATATGATGAACTGCACTAAACTGAAAACTGGACACTCACTAGGGTAAACATGAACGGTTTGCCAAAATTACACCAGCCCTCCATCATCCTTATCCCCAAAATGGTCCGCATTTGCCTAAACACCAAAATAACATGTCAAAGACTTATGTACTAGAACTGTCTGCATTGCGAATCGTGGTACCTAATTCTCCACAGTGGAAGTTAAAGTTGAAGAAACTGTGCAAATTAAACCCAGTCCACTCGGGTCATACGGTACTGAAATCTACGGCCATTGAATGGTATGTCAATGTCGCATGCCTTCTTACACGGAATCATATCCCATGTACTCAAAAGTTTGTTCATACTTTCGCAGAAGGGTACACTTATCTCGTTCAAATGCAGAACACACCCAGGACGGCGTGTTCTAAGTTAATAACCCCGCTAAATTTTGCGGTAAAGTGCTTTTACTATCTGAAGAAAAAATCTTCTGGAACCAAAGAGAAATCAAATTTTGATTCCACAGCTGAGTTAAATACTTTCCCGAGAGAAAACCTATTAATAGACGTGCAGTGTTTCACTACCGAATAGTGCCAATCTACCGTTGGACAGTTACATTCTTTGCATATATGTTGTCTTCCCTTAGACACAGTATGATATTCTATTTCACACGCAAAACACGTGTTCTAGACACTGATACCGGAGAGCAATCGCCTAGAGAGGATATTCGGCTTCCAACTGTAACCAGGTTTTGAGGAACGAGAGGACCCGTCAGATGAGTTTGATGTGGCTGTAATTGTGGTTAATTGGCATCATTATGTTTCTTCGCTGGAGGAAAAAGTTATTTCAAACAAAATATAACGTGATTTTGGCAGAGGAGTACAGGAATATGTGGCTAGGGGGGGCATTTTAACCCTCCATTTTCTTCCTTCGTTGAATATGAATGGTGCATTTCTACCATTAACTTACCTGATTGAGTAGATTAATACAACCTTCCGGACGCTGACGTTATTTTTCAGCAGAATGCTCGAGGATTACTTGGAATTTTTAATGACACACTTATTTCACCGTCTGTTTATTCCATCTTCCACCTACAGTTGGAGACTGCACTGTGAGTGTCTGTCCTCGGCACGGCTTGAAAAGTCTGTGTTAAATTAAATAAACGTCAGACTAATTACCCTCCTGCAAGAAACCAAACGTTTACTTAATCAGAAGGAGGTGGAAATTGGACAGGAATCAAATTTATGGCTTTTCGCTTACTGGATGAATTTTTCCTTGCTAAGTACACCGGGATGGTACACCCAGGTCAAAGTATAACACACCGACCAAGACTTTAAGACCAGCCGATTTTTGAATGAATCGTAAATACACACGTAAAAGAGCCCTCAATATAACTTGTAAAGTAAACTTCCTCAATGCCGCCAGACGTTCAAAGATAATCAGTCTCAAAGGTTTAACAGAAAGAAGATTGAGGTGTCTAGATGCGCAGGTATGACAGTGAATATTACTTCACTCTTCTCGCTAGCCAAGGTTATGCTAACAAGTAGAATGCTTCAGTGGCGTTTCCACGTTGTGCGGGAAATCAACTACTGTTCAGCAACCAGAAGTTTGGTTAAAAAATTTCAACCTCGCGAGGATGTGCTGCAAGACTCGACTAAAATTACACAGAAAGTCTCATCGCAGTAAAAAATCATCAACTTCTGAAGAATCTTGAAAGGGCTATGGACGAAAGCTTTTGACAGGAAATCCAAACATGACCTACTAGCGTCATGGCTAGCTTGCGGTTGGTAATGTGCAAAACCCTGTTCCTTTCTGAAAAATACCTGTACCACATCTGGAATATACGAAGTTGATACATCAACCGGTATAGATTCGATGCGAAAACCACTATCCTGACCAAGTGATTGGCACACAACAATTGATTTCAGCGAGTTCCACTGGCATGTGGGTCACGGTAATTATACGGATCAGGGCGGATGTAGTTTATATTCGTTTTGTGCTTCACAATCCAGTCTACTGACGGTAAACCTATCTCTGTCATGTACGCACATGACTAATAAAGCTGGCGCTGGATATCGTTCTGAAACATTTCACTTTGCACCGATTCGTTTGCGTGGTTTCATCAGGTCAACAAGCATACTTGACATAGCTGCAACTAGTTTAAACCAGATCTAATGCGGCCGTATTACATTTGTGATCCTCAATTCGTTTTTGTTTTGTACACACACCCACAGTGTAATGAGGCAAATGTTCCCTGTTGACGGTGTTCTAGAACGCCCACTTTTATTGGCGGGATGACTTTATTGTCCGGTATGCAAACTGAATTTTTTGAGAAGCACAATGACTTTTCGCGCAAGAATGAGCAAAATTGGTCTGAGAAGACCGACAGCTTCGAAAGAACAGTGGCCGCAAGCTATCCTGTTATGGAATCTTTGCATTACAGAATTAGCTTATATGTCATTCACTGAATCAAACGTTTCAGGATTTTATGTTTTATCACTGGGTAATTACAGAATTTACGTTATGTTCACCAACGTCAAGATAGTTCAAGCGGTCTGAAACTGCCCGAAATCTCATGTTCAACGCGAAAACAGGACGATACATACTGGATCTCCATTGGCATATAGAAACAGTTTTCGAATAATTTTCGAAACAAGACGGAACTAGTTGACGGCGAAATCAGAGGCGTGATTTATATCTTGGCCTCAGAATGCAGTATAAGCATCGTCTTTTCTTCCTCGGTCACACTGGTGAATGAGACGTCAACCAATTCAGCAGCCTTTGTATTACTACGATCACACTTGTGGTTGCACTTGTCTCTTCCTAATAGTTTCTTCGACTAAATTCAATCCTTGATCGACGTACCGGCTTATGATTGCTTCAGGCCTTCAGCATTTATTTAGATCATAAACTCTTTGAGGAATCCAGCTGTATTCTTTAATGATATACGTCATGCAAATGCTCCAGAGTGTGTCGATAAATGTGCAGCAAAATGACGCATATATATGTGACGTATATCTACATTGCCGAACTTCTCTGATGATCAGGTGTGCA